ACCGACTGCTGAAAATCAGAGTCTTGCAGAGGTTGTCAGGGCATTTTCCTGCCTGTCCCTCAGTGCCTGGGAAGGGAAGATGAATCTGCTTGTGCACAGTGTGGGATACTGGTGTTAAGCCTTGCCACACTGACAAAGGCACTGTCCTTAGCCCTGAGGAGCACTTTCTGGCTGTCCACACGCTCATTCCTCTCTGTCTCCCACTTGCGGTCCCACGTGTCCCTGTTCTGGCCCAAAGGCTGTAGGACTCATCATGCACTACCCATGGAAATGAGCAGTTGTCAAACACCCCACACCTTTCCCTGTGCCTCAGTCTCATCCATATATCAGAGGTTCCCCCCAGAATTCAGGTCAATGTTCTTTAAGATCCTTGCTCGTGCGCTCCCCCACCCCAAAAAGGCCTTTGTGTTTGGGTTTTTTTGTGCTTTCCCACGGAACCTTTGAAATGGTAGAGGCAGGCACAGCTCCCAGGTCCTTCATCTGCCATTTGGAGCCTTTCCCTCTGCCCAAGCCCCAGTCAGAACATGCCATGAGGTTAACTAGTGGCTTCTTTTGAGTGACAGAGATCCAAGGCTGAGGCTGCTCCACGTTACACACCAGGGGCAGTAACTTCTCCCCAACATCTCTGCAGGAAAGGACTTGACAAAACCACATCATTTTATGAGGAACCTTCCCCAGAGGTTGATTTCCTCCATCCCATGTTGGTCTTGGGCAGAAGAGAAGCAGCATGCGTAAATTCTACAAATGGAATGTTTCCCTTTCTTCAGGGATTCCCTATCTTTTGGTGCAAAGGAAAGAACCTAGACATACAAGATTCTTTTGCTACGGATTTATAATAACATTTTATTAATATATTATGCTACAAAAATATTTTGATAAAATAATATTAGAAAGCATCTTTTTATTACACTCTTCAAAACAGTTCACAAAAGCAGGAGGCAGAACAGGGAAAAATATCTGAAATGTGTCTGAATGGAAAATTGACAAACATGCAATTTAAAATTCAGTGTGAGCATGAACCCACAGGATGGTTAATCCTTCCTGTAGAACAGTATTGACTACTTACTGGAAAGACCTCTATGCCTTTAGCTAGATTAAGGTGCCTCCTGAAAAGCTGGTCACAGGAAAGGGTGCATTTGGGTTGAGACAAAACACACGCATACAACACGCTTACGTGCACATATACACATGCACTCATGCATGTGCGTGAGCGCACACACACACATACACCCTATGATCTCATAATTAGGCAATTATCTTCCTGCTTCAGTTATGCTGAAACAAGCTTAAATTGAAGCTGAACTCTAGCACTCTGTGGGACATTGATCACTTCAGAGATACGACAAGCCCATATACTTCTTGGATACAATAAAGGAATATGGTACTAAGCGAAGTTTGGAATGATAACATTTATGCTGAGATAATAACTTTGGCACTTTGGTTTCTCTAACATAAATACATGATGGGAAATTCCTCCCTAACAGTGGTATATGGTAATGACTGGGTCATATCATTCAACTAATCAATGCACTAAACATAGATTAAGTTCTCCCTCTTTCCATCTCTCTCTCCGCAATTGTATATTGAAGAACTTAAATAAATATACAGCTCTGTACCTTGGGTGTTCCTAAATTACAGTGGAGCTTGGAGGAATGGGAAGTTCAACAAAGCAGATTTTGACACCTGTATAAAGCATAGTTATCATAAATCATGATGTTCATCATTTATTGCCAGAAGAGGTATTGCATTATTCAACAGCCCGAGGGATTGCAGAGAAACTACATCAGTCATAAAATATAAAATACCTTCTGTCCCAGCTTACTAACTGGTTCTCCAAGTGGCAGTGCATGTTAATATAGCATCTGTAGTTAAACATAAGCAAGAAAAGCATTAAAACAATGAAAGAGTGGAAGTTAGACCTGTTGCTGGTGGTATGGAATATTTATTCCATCAGGGCAAGAGCTTGGCAGATAATTAACACTCGTTTATAATGTTACAGTTAGTTACATATAAAGTGAATTGCATTGGTGTCAGTTGTAGCTGAGTTAAAAAGATGAATCATATGAACATTCAGCTTTGGACTCATCCAAAATCATGTCTTGATTGTCAGATATTGCGCGACTTTCTTGATTGTGCTTCTCAGAGGTAAATCCTATCAATCATTGGTGTTTGTCATTATATACACTGGGTGAATATATTATATATATATATTTTCTGTTAAATTTCCTGCTCTTGGAATCTTGTGATTACACGGAATCTGAGCTTTCCTTTGGAAGAAAGAAAACAGTTGATTCCAGTTTTCTGAGAAACTCACAGAGAAAACTGTAGTTCTAAGAAGCTTGGTGGTGTTACTTCAAGAGCATGGATCAAAGCTGATGCACGCTTTTTATAAACTCATGGTGACTATAATCACGCTCCATGGCAATGGATGTGCATAGATCTGTGCTAACCAGCATTAGGGTATTTTAGTTAATACTGGGCTGCTGTAGCTGATTAATAAATAATCCATTTTATCAATCACGGTGAGGGTCTCATTTTCCAGTATTGCTATGCTTACGTGCCATGTACTGAAAAAGAAAGTTTACCCTAAGCTGTGCTTTAGGGTAGAGACAAGAGAATAAATGTTTGGTTAGAGAACTGTGCTGGACCCATTCATATGGGGTTCCTGAGCTAGGATCTACAGGAAGCTACTTAAGCTTGTATTTATTGTAAGTAAGTGATTCGTCTTCTCCTCCAAAGAAGACCTTCATCAGACTGAGTGACCTAAATGCTTTTAGGTGCCAGAAGTCAGGTATGTGCACCCCAAGGCCAGGAGACACCTTGCTCTGACACCTGCACTGCAGTATGACAAACTCAGGGAGCTTGGTGCGCTCCAGCAACATTCATTCATGTCATGGAATTATGGACAAAATGCCAGGAAATGCATATAAGTTAAAACGTTGATATCCAAGTTATTTACACACTGTGATAGCCAAACATACCATGATAGCTGAGCTACTGAATATTAAGTATTGCTGTCCAGTGAAGGAGTGACCTAGGAAAAAAACCTCATTGGTGACAAACAGAGTGATTATTCTGTGTAGTATAACTACAGCTGTGAGTGTGGAGATGATAGCTGTGTGCTTCTAATATTAAAAAAAGCCCCAGAGGCTTATGGAGAAAGCCACAGTTTGGGAAATGATAGAATTGTAATTTCTCGTCTTGGTTGTGTTGGTGGTTTTCTGCTCTTTTCTCTCTCCCTTATCTTTATGTGGTCTTGTCTATTTATACTGTAAGTAAGTTTTCCAACAACTGAAATTATTTCTGGGATGGTACCACAGATCATTTCTGGATTCAATCAGATTACAACAAACAAAATCCAATGGGTTTTGGTTTGTTGGCTGTTCAGTTTTACTATGTAACTTATCACCTATTGGCCTACCTTATTTCCAGTTCAGGTTTTGTAAATAAGACATTATAATTCAGTACCAATGTCTGTCTTGAATACATCAGGAGAACCAGTCTTTTAAAACGCATTAATGTTGAATTTCAAGGTCTGTTAAGCCATTATATTCAAATGAAGGCATTTCTAGGGTAACAGCTCAAATAAAACCAAAATGAAAGTTCTCAAAATATGTTTCCAATATCCAGTCCTGTGCAATAAATATTATTCAAGGTGAATGGCTTCTGTCCAAAACTAACATCTCTAATCTTCTGCTGGCCAAAATACACAATATAAAAGTATGCACAGGGCATGCTTGAAGCTCACGTTTGGGGCAAAGCTCAAAGTTTTCCATTCAGCCTTATCAATGGTTGTGCTTGAAAAATAATAAGGGTAGTTTATAGCACTATCATCTGCTCTATTCACTTTGATTGACCACAAACCTACACAACCTTCTGTCAAAAGCAGAGCAAAGACTGGAGGTCATGATGTGCAGGAAGTCAAAAAGGAGTTCCCTGTATTCTTCCCGGCTTTTGCAAGGCAGTGAGTTAGGCTGAAGGATGGAAAAGCTCAGTATTTCATCATGGATTTGAATAAAACTATGTGCTTTTTGCAGCCTAATTATTTTTTCACCTACTAGCCTGAATTAACAACAAACAAACTGTGAATCCTAAGCTATCTCTCACTGCAGAGACTTGAAGGTTGCATGGAACCATCTGCAATGCTGGAGCCCAGGCTGTAGGGCTGGTAGGAAACTGACATGATGGTTTTCAGTCAGACTTTTATCAGTATTATTATGATCACTATAATCATAGGGGTTTTTTTCCAAGGTGAAAAAGCATTGCTTTTTTGTAAAGAAATGTTTGCCTTGTATTTTTCTGCTTTTTTGAGTCTTCTAACTATGACATTTTCATCACATAGTTGGGATTGCTGGTTTGTAGATGACCTAGAAAGAAAATTGCTTTTCTGGTTTAAATTGTTGTATCCAAAGGGATTTTTTTTTCATCATGTTTTGCTGGGGTTAAAGAAAAGATCAACATGCCTTATTAAACATAATAGTTTTTAAGATGGACACAGGTTTTTTTCCCCATAGACATTCATCACATTCATGAAAAGTAGCCGCTTTCAGTGAGTGTAACGTGTCATTACTTTTTCATCTAAGTCAGCAGAGGTACCATAGGCTACAAAATGGAGGAATGTTCTAGATGTCTCCATAGAGAGACATAAGGTTAATTTGGTTCCTGTGGTCTTGAACAGATTTTGAATTAACAGAGGGGTTAATTTGGTTCCTGTGGTCTTGAACAGATGTTGGACAAGTCATAATTCAGCATGGATATATCAGCTCTAAGCATTATAATAGCAAGAGGAAGTGGTAGATGTTTTTTGCCCTCTAGGTTGTCCATCTGCATTAATACAACTGGTTCAAAGAAGTTCTATTGATTAACAGGATACTACATCTTTATACCCTATATCCTATAGACAGACTAAGTTCTGTCCTCATTTGTGCTCGGAAAGGTTGTAGGCTTGTGCTTATATAAAATGAGGGAGAGAAGAAAGTAATTCCAGTGGGATTATTCCAGACTTCAAAAGCAATTTTTTATTGAGAAAAAAGGTGTCTTAATTTGTGTTAGCTAATGAATTAATCCCAGGGCAAAGAGGGAAATCGGTAATTTCCAAAGAAGTTAAATAGTTTAGTTAAGGATAACAGTGGAACTTAGAGGGTTATCTTGACTAATGACTTACTAAGTCATAAAAAAACAACTGGTACTTTAGGCTGTAGCAGCTAATGAGTTAGGTATGCACCTGTTTTTCTAATGGGCATAGGCCACAGAGAGCAGGACCTGCTTTATTTAGTGTAAGCTATGCTAATGAGATAAAAGAAAGTAAAATAAAGAAGTTTAGCAGAATTTTACTTATTGGACAGCTGCTGTAAAAGGTAATGGTTAAGGAAAGAAAGAAGGCATTCATTTGGTGTCAGTTCAGACATTTGCAGAGTTGTCAGAAAACAAATATAGAAAATATTAATTTATCTGTTTCACCATCGCTACTGATTAATAGGGATGTTATTAACATATACAACAACAAGAAAAATAAGTTTACCAGTTGAATAAATACATTTTTCTTTTTCTTTTTTTTTTTCTTTATATGAACATGTATATTTTACAAAACCCCATAGCACTATGGGAAATAAAGATCCTTCTACAAAAAGAAGATGTAAGTCAGTGTTACAATAAAGCTTTAGAGTTTCAAAATGTATCTGGGCAAAGAGACAAAATCAGCTAGAAGGCACTACTGAGTCACTGAGACGGTCCAGATGGTAACTGTTGTCTTAACCTCCAATTCGTTCATAAATTATCTCTCTTCTCTATTCCAAGGGATTGCACGTAATACTAATGTGGTCAGGAAGGCTGCAGTAGATTCAGGAGTAAAGAAGCTATGGCCACGCAGAGAAGAGAAGTTACTGATGGCCATAAAAGCCTGGCTGAAGCTGAGCTTGTAGGCTGAGGCTGGGATGGGCGATCTGAACGCGGTCTCTGATCCAGTTGGTTTGAAATCCAAATGGGAGGTTTGACTGTGATGTAGCCATTGGTTATCCTGATATAGGAAGGCAACGTGGTGGTGCTAAGAGAAAACACAAAAGAAGGAAATTAAACTCTGTGAGCCGCCATTCTACGCAGTAGTAACCACAACAATGACAATCATCACTGTCATCATTGTTTGCATGCATTAGACATGCAGGGAGAGCCCCAGGGGCTGGTAAGTGTGATGATCTAGAAACAGTTCTGATCCAGGATGCACCTCAGCTTCTGCCTGCTGGTAGAATATAGCCAAAGGAGGGATCACTCTTGCTATGTCTAACGTATTGCATTCCTTGTTTCAAGCATTACTGGCAAGCACCAGAGACTGTGGTAAATACATCTTTATTCTGACCCAGGATGACATCATTCTTATGTTCTTAGGTACCTCCTTGCCACCAAAGGTCTCAAAATTAGTCATGTCTCAGAGACATGTCTTATTTACCATGGACTGGATACTAAGTACAGGAGGGGCCACAGAACATGTCCTTTCCCTGTTTCACAAGCCATAAAGAATTCCTCAGGATCCCCTTTCACAACTGATAACCTTGAGCATAGGAGACCAAGCACCTTGATTTATTTTTTCCCTGGCTTTAAGCCATTTTGAATTAAATCACAATGCCAAAACCAGACTCAGTGTGAAGTTTCCCTGTGCATTTGCTTCAACAGTGGTGTGATTGCTTATTGATTGTAGCTTGAATTAGTACTTTGATTTGAATTTGCAGGTTGGAATTCATCATGAGTCCCATGATGCTGTAGGTCAAAAAGGTCCATTTTTTGGAAGTTTTAAGTTGTAATCTCCATTTCATAAAATGCTTCCATTGCATCCATTATTGGATGATCCATATTCCTCTCAGAGCAGCACAACCAAGCATGCAAAATGTGCAAGGTGAATTCTGGACTTAAAACCAAGGCATTCTGCTGTGAAGCAAGGCGAGAAAAGACAGGTTCCCCTGAAAACAAGATGTGACACTAATACCTGCAGATTTTCTTGTGTTACTTTCTGATCTTCCATAAAAGGGATTTGGAGGCACTGAAAATGACTGCCACATAATTTCTTATGGGATAAGAAGCTATGCAATCTTCTAATACTTAGCTATGGCATCTGAGATCCTGACCTTTGAAGAAAAAAGGCCACATCTTGCCTAATATCACATAAAAGGAACAATACCTTGCTCCAGATTTATGCACAGTAATAGAATTTAATAGCGTTGAAAGCTTTTGTCTTTTTCTGTTCAAGCAATGTCAAGACAGCTTTTAGCTCAGATGCTTCAAATGTGTTGAGTTAAACACAAAGTGTGTGGACATCTGATTCCACACAGAAGAGGGCCCTAGTAAATACACACACACATGGGTCAACATCAAATCCAATAGACAATCACTGTACATTACACTTCACCCTGGGTTTTGGGACAATTACATTCATTTCTTCCCTCAACCTTTATATTGTCACCACATCTTCTGAGTGGGATAAGTTGTTCTGTAGCTAGAAGTGATCTTAACTAATTGCGATGAATAAGGGTAAAAAAACACAGGCAGTCTTGAATTAAAGACATGGGAATTACTTCATAGGAGTAGATAATCCATCTAACCAGTATTAGGACTTTGACAGTGATAAGTGGTGCTTGTTCCAGAGGAACAAATTCCTGTAAATAGAGAATTCTGAAATCAAGCCTTGCTGGAGAAAGCTCTTACCTAAATTCCCATGGTGAGTGGTAGGTTTATGTCTTGAACTGATGATACAAGACACATAGCTTTAGAGCTTCTTCTGTATTGCATCAAAACTGCTGCAGTCACTTAATACAAAGAGTTGATCTGAGAGAAGCTAATGCTGCTGTTTCAAATTGGCCCAGCTTTCCTAAGCAGTTAATTTAGTGCTGTCAAAAATGACACCAGATTAGACACTCCGTATCCAAGCTCCAGTGGTATACGTAACGTAAGTATAAATGGCCTTGCTACAGTGAATACCAAGCATCCTTAAAGCATACTTCTGACAAAACTAGGTACTACATGCTCTGAGTAATTCAACAGAAATGAAGTCATGCTCCAACTTCTGATCCAGATCTCTTTTATCCTGTTGAGCGATGCCGTGTTACACAGACCTGACAACACTGACAGTGGGATCACAGTTTTGGGGGTTTTCCCCTGTACCAGTTTTCCCTAAGGTCAGTATGGGTAGGTGCTCATACTCATCTTTTGGTTACTGTTTGTCATTTTACAGAACTACATCATTTAGCCCTAATTTGAATTTTAAACAGCAAGGAGGGTCTGTTTTTCAATTTCACTTTAACAAAGGCTGCCAAAATGCCATTCAGGCTTGCAGTTTGGGTGTATCCTGCTTCTGACACATTCTCTGGGCTTGATCCTCCAGTGAGATTAAAACATCCCTCATACAAACTGCCTTTCTGCATCTCAGGGATGCACTGTGTGAGATGTCTAATGGGGGACACAGGCTGGCCAGGGAAACCCTGAAAGAATCCCGAGGCCATTTAGCAGCCAGCTACATCTAAGGGATTCCTAAAGCAGCCTTAAATCAACATTTTACGTTTAGGATGGTGTTTCCATTTTCTAGTCAACAGACAGAACCTTATTATTAATTATTATTTATTAATATTATTATTATTTCTTCCTTGAAAACAGGTACTTTTGGGGGGAACAACCACCCCACCCCCAATTTACTCAAAAGACCTTAAAGACCTGAGAATTTTTGACCACCGTTCTCCTGAGTCAGTGAGGTAATATTCTGTTTTCAAGACATCTATTTTCTATAAAGGCTTCTTTGTCAAGATAAATACTGTTAGGTGGGGGTGTTTGTTTTTAAGAAATCCATAAGTGCTTTATAAGAAAAGAACAGTGTGTTTCCATTAACGTGTACAAAGCATGCTAATAGCAAATGAATCACAGTTTATCCATCTAAGACATTTTCTTAAATGCAACTCTACTTCTAGCCAACTGCCAGTGTGGTTTAGAGGTATTTAAAGAGAATGACTCCTTTTACCAAATGCTACAAATCTCCTTGTAAAAACTCTGGTCTAAGTCTGTGACTAGGTTGTTTCTATATGAAGGGAGAGAAACCTCTCCAGAAGGTGGTCCACCTCATTCCAGTGCAGGTCTCTAGTGGGGACATACTCTTGCTTGGGGTCTTTATCTTCCTGGGGATTACAGAGACAGGTTAGATTATAATCTAATCTTAGACGTGGCCCTGGTGTCAGGAGATGACTTCTCCAAGCTCCCTCTGAGCATGTCTGGTTGCGTACACAGGATCTCACTGACCCTCATCCTTCCCTAAGGATGAAAGCAGCAGCAGCAGCCCCCTGAACTCAACTGGAAACCTTCCACTGTCCTCAGGGAGGTTTTGAGCATTCCTGAAATGAACATAGAGAGTAATGAAAAGAAATCACAGATCTGAGGGATAACCATCTGAGTTATTATCACGCCCTCTCTTGCCAGTTCAGGATATTCTGTATTTCAGTCTTTCGTGTCTGATAAAAATATCTTTAACAAAACATTCCACATGATCTGTGGTGAACAGGCAACCACTGGTTCCTCTGTTCATACCTCTCCTTTTTGCTTCTGTGTATGGGATTGTTTTGAGGATTTGGAAGACTCCAGGTATCTTTTAGCCAAATGACCTGCGGTATCATATTCATGAGCTTGTACTTTAGATCAGATTTTCTGATCAGTGCATTAGTCATACATTGTCTTACCATCATTAGGACGTGTAAAACTTTCCCCAGAAATGGGGCCTCAGGCACAGGCTTTGTGAACAGACCCTACTGAATCCAATTACATGATTCAAGTTCTCTATGCTGGGGGCATGCTGGAGCACCTCCATGATTTGGGAGCACTTTAAAACTGGAAAATAAAACAAACACACATGCAACCCTTTGGGGGCATTTCTGTTCTGGTTTAGCTTGTGAGGACTTTGCAAAGAGCTCACAAACTGATTTTTAGCATGACTTGGTTTACTCATATAAGCAGGGCTCATCTGATCACATGTGACACTACAGCAGAATGGCAGAAAATAGGACCAGGAGGGGCTTTCTGGCCCATCTGTCCCAAAGATAGGAGCAAGATCTACACCCTTTCTCACATCTACATCTAATCCAGTCTCAAAGAAACGCTATTAGGAAATGATAGCAATTCCAGAGTCTCTGTGGACATCTATTCCAGCATTTCACCATTCCTGATGTCCAGAATTACTGCCTAATGTTTCACCAAACCTCCCTTGGTACAACACAAGTCCGTGACTTCTCCTGTCCCCATGGACAGGTTTATTCTTTTCCTCTTCTCAGCAGCCTTTTATGTGTTTTGAAGACATAACCACGTTTCACCTCAGTTTTCTGTCTTCTAAACAGTTTCCTCTGCCTTTCTTTGCAAGTCCTCAGGTGCTTTCCCTCCATCCTTTCATCTGCTCTCCTCTGGCTCTGCCTAATTGCTCAGTGTTCTCTGGAGTGAGATACCCCACGCTGGGAACAGTAGGTGTAGCTGACATATTGCCAGCACTATGCTTTTTGCAGTAGGTACCACTGCTTCTTTATTTGCAAAGCAGAAGACAGTCCATGAAAAACATGCAATCTGCAGGAAGATGGTCTTTTCACCACTTTTTGCCCCTAAAGTCCAAACTGCCTTTATGGTACCTATTCTGAAGCTCCTGGGAAAACGATGGTGCTCTGAGGCAGTGAGGACTGACTGAATTATGGTGGTATTTCCATGCATTTTTGATCTGGTGCCTTGCCTCAGTCCCAGCACGGGTTTCTGTTCACGGTGGAGGAAGTGACCCTTTCAAGCAGAACTTACAAAGTGTTTGGGGATTTTTCTGGATCAAAGAAACTATAAAAACACATGACAACTATTTTTAATAAACGTAAACAAATGTGGACTCAGACAGCCTTTCTTACAATAGCATCTGATGAAAGAAGCTTATCAAGACAACGTGCCAGCAGAGATTGAACCCTGAAAAAATGCATGTTTCAATTGAAAACCTAAAGAGCTAGTAAACTGAAAGAAAATTTTTGAGTAAATACAATAATGGCTGTTTTGCAT